TGTTGATAACCCATAGGGCGTGCTGTTAGCTCATTGGGACTGCTAATAGTCCCCAAAGTTGTTGATAACCCATAGTTGTTTATTTATGCTGTGTTGTATGTGATATTTTTAGCGAACTCACTAAGATTTGTGCTTAGAGTTGTGGATTAAATGTTTTTCAGGTAGTTATCGGATTGCGAAGGCGGGAATGTTCACACCCATCAACAGTTTTCCAATTCGAGATTTCGCATTGTCTTCATTATTACTCCGATTTTTAATTATAGTTCATGAGCTAATGGTTTTACTTGAATGTAACTTTAATAAAATGGGTGTTTATTCTATTTTAAAAATGAAAAATTTATTCTGGAAATTGGGATGTTAAACAAGTGAATTAAGCGGAAGACTACTCGCAATAATTCAACGAGCACCCTGGGTTCGAGCTCCTTTACAGAGGAAACCTTGCCCCCTATAGGAATTTTCCAGGAAAAAATTCCCCATATATGAGGTAGTTTAAAGGAATCGAACTCCCAACCTCACGTCCCACGTGGGTAGAAACAACCCGATGCATCAACCCAACTTGGTTGGATATCACTTGCGTGAATTAACTATTTAGAATGCTATATGTAATATGTGTTGCATTAATGAAATGCTTTTACAAAGACTTTTAGAAATATAGACATCCATTATTGTTTTTAATTAAGTGTTTCTTTTATCATGAACCATGAATTCAACTTAGGATGGAATTGAGAATTTTGTGTTTAACATACGTAAAATTTCATTTTTAGGAAGTTAAGATAACTAATATCTTGTTTTGAAAATATGTGGCTAGTTAGATGGTTCAAAATCCTTAAAATGTATGAAATATATTATGTCATTTATGTCCTAATCATGAAGTTTAACTTAAATTTATGTTTGAAAAAGTCCTAAAATGCATTTGAATGAATATCATGTATGAGGATATATGGTTATTGAAGGAATGGTGTGCTTTTCAAAGTACACTACAATCTACCTTAAAATGAGACACCAATAGTTAACTTGCACAATAGTAGTATATCAAAGAAAACATATGATTTAAGTCTTATGTAACCTTCCTACATGTTTTATAAGTGTATTATAAGCTTATTATCTTAAAAGTATAAAACAAAATAGATTGTATGCAACAATTTTGGAAAATGAAGTAAAATGGGACAGAATATTAGAAATTGTGCTAAACATGTTATATGTTATAATATTGATCGTAAGCAAAATGGTACACAAAGATATGCACAAAAAAATGAATATGAAAAAAATAGAAAAATAGCTTATATAAGCGAGTAAAAATGGACAAGTTAGGTTTCTACTATGTGAAATGACTAAATGATATAGAATATGAATACGGGACATATGGGACTAAGTTATACATAGAAACCTATCATGAAAAAAATATACAAACATGATACAAAGTATAGAAAAGCATGGAGAAACCAAAAAGAAAGTCCTAGTGGCTGTCTTTGGTTGTCAAAGTATAGTACTTGGGTTTCATTTTAAAGGTTAGACAAAATAAATGATTTCAATATTTTAGACATTATGAAAAAAGAAGCAATCAAAAAGGTGTCGCATGAAAAAAATATGAAGGAAACAAGTTGAGATGTCACAACACTAAGTGTGCAAAAGCATAAAACACTTTGGCACCTGAACCGGGTCACAAGAAGAAAGTTAGACCTCCTTATGCATGTTCTACGCACCTATATTCCTTAGACCGACATAGTTCACGTTGAATATGCATGGGAAATAGTTGACTTAATTTATAAGTTCCATTTTTGCTCATTTTCACACCATAAACTCCCAAACAAGTGTGTGTTCTATAAAGGTGCATTTAGCGTGTGTATGCTTATATGAATTTACTATATATATAGGGTGAAATTAAGAGGTGAAACAAGAAAGAAAACAAGATCAAACATCCCAAAGGATTGGATTGAAAGGTTGACATATTCATCCTTTCGTTTAGTTGTCAAAGTTGATGAAATTAAACATGCATTTGAAGTTGACTTTTGACATTGAGCTTGCGTTTTACAGTCTAACTTAGAAAATGAAAGATTAGGTAGTTTTTTATATGTTATTAAGCTATAATAAAATCATTGAAGCTTACATTATTGATTAACATATAAAAGTTTGACCATAAACCCTAAGTTGCTGTTCAAATGAATAAATATCAAAGTTTATGGAAATTGATATTAAAAATAGAATTAAATGTATGTGTGTTCTATAAGGGCACATTTAGTGTGTGTATGCATATGTGAATTTACTATATATATAGGTTGAAATTAAGAGGTGAAACAAGAAAGAAAACAAAATCAAACATCCAAAAGGATTGGATCGAAAGGTTAACATATTCATCATTTCATTTAGTTGTCAAAGCTGATGAAATTAAACATGCATTTGAAGTTGACTTTAGACATTGAGCTTGCATTTTACAATCTAACTTAGAAAATGAAAGATTAAGTAGTTTTATATGTTATTAAGCTATAATAAAATCATTGAAGCTCACATCGTTGATTACCATATAAAAGTTTGACCATAAACCCTAAGTTGCTGTTCAAATGGATAAATATCAAAGTTTATGAAAATTGATATTAAAAATAGAATTATGCAAACATATGAAATGCATTCTCAAATTTTAGATTGAATCTATGATTAGTATTTTCCTAGTTGACTAAATCAAGTGAAACATGTGTTAATATTAGAAACTTCAAATTAGCAATGTAAAGATAGTATGTTATAAAGTGAAGTAAGTGAAATGCATTCTTGTATGTATAATGTTATGATGTCATCATTTACAATATCTTCTGATAAAAATAAGAGATAATTAAGTACTTTTTGCGTAATAATAGAAGGTTAAAATATATGCATATGCTCAAAGCTATATTGTCATGAATGTATGAAATATTCATGTTATACCAAGTTTATATTTCATAGCATATGCATATCATGACATTAAGTGTGATTGAATTGCATAAAAAACTGATGAGAATGAATACATTGAGTGTAACTTGCATTGTAGCTATATGATGTTTGTCTAGACTCACGATGTCCCAAGATTTAGGATCCAAAAGACTCTACCATGTTAGTAGCTCAATTCATGAATAGATTTCATATGATTATGAAGTTATGATATGTTGATTCATTCATCCTATCATGACCCAAACTTCGGGCATCATTATTTGTGACTATGGCTTATGTATAAAGAGAAAATATCAGTACATAACCGATAAAGACAAAGCGCACATGAAACAATGACTCAATAAGGCCTAAAATAAGTGCTTAAACTTTCCAAAGCTTACATTGGAATATGATCTTGCATTCGATACATAACATTTTCCTTGAATTATGTTGAAGTAAAAGATTTTTGTCAAATGCTTCTAAAATATTATTGTTTCTAAATCTATGTACCTCACGAAATATTATTTTCTTTATGCAAGGTTTTTTTATTAAAATGTCATGTATTTTCGGTTTAGGTATCAAGAACTAAAAGGATGTAGCTTTTAGGAAGGAATTTTGGTCGATAGAAAAGAGATGAACTTTTGATGCTTAGATGAAATGAAGCCTTGCAATTAAATTACAAATTATTGAAATTAGTTTCTAATTTCTTACTTATGTTTGTCTTCACTATAGTTTCTATTTTCTAATGGTAGGAAGTTTTAACCCTCATGATGGATTAATATTTTTCAAAATGTTTTATGAGTTTTGTTAAGTATCACTTTATATAAAATGATGTTTAAAGAAGACATTTAAATGTATAAAACATGGGCAGTTACAATGTGTCTACTAGCTTGAGACCTGGGGTACCCAACCTGATATTTTTTAGACTTAATTTGGACAACATTCTAGATGGTCTCAAATGCATGTGGGACTTGCAACCTTTCGTGTGGTACATGTGTGATGGTTAACATGTTTCTTAGTGAAACAAAACATTATATTGTCTAGTGTGCTTTACACATGCTTTCAAACCATCATTTTTAGGTGTTTTGGACTTTGAGATGATTTGAGAAATTGGGTTTAGAAGCATATTTTGTATTTCAATTTGTTGATATTGTTAATTTGATATTGTTGAGACTTGTTAACGTTTTTTAAAACTGTATTTATCATAGAATGCTTCATTCCCCACATATTAAATATACAAGCTTTTGAGTTTTGAAAATATTTTTAGAGGTTTGCGTTGAGTATGAATTATATAAGTTTCCCAAACACTTAACAATGTCTAATCCCGACAATACTCTTTAGGTTCGCAAGCCTAACCTACTAAAATTTTGACATATGTTCAAATTAGGAGTTTTAGATGAAGACCGAAGATGTCACAAGCTTTCAGAAATTTAAAAGACATTTATTTTGATGTAAGAATAATTAGACACTTTAACTATTGTCGCTTAATGTCATTGTTAATACCATGATACTTTTAAAAAGTATTTTAATAGCTAAATGTCTTGAACCTTATTAGAAAATTGTTTTCTTATATAATGATTTTTGGTTGCACAAAATACTTTGAAACAGTTATTTTAAGGGTGTGTTTGGGATTACTTTTTAATCATAAAAGTCCTTTTATGAAAAATACTTTTTGTAAAAGAATTTTTTTTAAAAGAAGGTGTTTAAAATGTGTTTGGTTTATTTTTAAGACTTTTAAATGATAAAAGCTAAAAGTAACAAAAAGATAGGAATTCCTATCTTTTATCTAGCCAACTTTTCATTCTTGACTAAAAGTTGATTTTAAAAGAACTTTTCAATTTATCAAACAATCTTTGACAATTTTTAACTTTTTGAAAAAGTTAAAAGTCAAAAACATGATTAAAAAGAAATCTCAAACACCTTCTAAATGATCATTTTAAATAGCTCGTATGAGACAGTGGGGTGTTTCTACCCGACAACATGTCCTTGCTGAAAGTGGAAATTTTCAAAAACTATGTCATTGTAACACCTCGGTCACTAAAACAAAAGTTTCATTTTACATTGTGCACGCCTTAAATGAAAAGGGTTGTAAAAATCATTACCCGAACGCACCAACAATGCGTGTTTCTTCCTCTAACTGTCCATCTGCTTGCCATCGAGCTAGTCCAAAGTCTCCAACCTATGTTTGAAACATACATCGTTTAATCTATAAAAAGTACCTAAAAAACCAGTTGTTGTTAGAGTTACAAGAAGTTTAAAGACCAACCATTGGCTTAAAATCATGTGTCAAGAGAATATTGTTAGGCCTAAAGTCTCGATGAATTATGCAGCCAACACGACAATCTTCGTGAAGATATCTCAATGCTCTTGCAGCACCACATGCAACCTTCATTCTATTCTCCCAAGTCATCACCACACCTTCCTCTAATCCTGTACACATTAAATATAAAATTTTAATTAATAAAGTACAATTTCCATGGAAAATGAGAAATTTCATAGGGAAATCATGAAATGTGAAAGAGGGAGAGATTCTCACCATATAAGTGTTTGTCTAAAGATCCATTACAAGCAAACTCATATACAAGCAGCCATTCCTTCTCGATACAATAACCAATCAACATGACCAGATTCTTATGTTGCGCACAACTTAACACTTCAACCTCAGAACAAAACTCAGCTGCACCTTGTGCACTGGCCATCTTTCGTTGCTTCACTGCCACAACCTGTCCATCACTCAAAACACCTCTGTATACCTCACCATATCCACCCTCTGCCAAGAAATTTCTTCTTGAGAATCCATCAGTTGCTCTCTCAATCTCTTCATGGCTAAACCTCCGTGGTGATCTCCCTAAGACAGGAACACTATGCTTGCAGACAGAGCAAAGAGGGGGTGGTGTAGGTGGCTTTTTAAGAGAGAGTGACATGTCCCTTCGTACACTTGAGGTTCTGTCAATGGATGGAGTATTTGCATGGCTGAATGACACCCTTCTTGTAGTAAGTTGCCCCGAGTTGTTTTGATGCCTTTGTGTTTGGCTTTGGCTTCGGCTTGTTGCATATGCTATTCCGGTTTCTACTTTCATGTCTACATCTATTGCCATATCTATAGATAGAAGAAAAAGGATAAGAGAACGAATTAAGTAAAATTTAATTTTAAAAATAAAAAACATGACATAACTTTTTCTTGTTTCCTGTTATAATATAATTATCTTAATAAATAATATTATTTCTACTAATATTTAATTTTAAAAACGTGATGCATGTTTAAAAAAATTAAATGATGGATAATTAAAAAAAAAGATAATAGATTATTACAAAATATTTCACAAAGACAAAGATAATTGTAGTTAATTTAATAATTTATTTTTGAAAACGGTAATGATCGAAGAAAGAGTATGGTAAAATGGTGATAGTTCTTCAATTTGTTAAATAAACTTAGTGGAAAACTATATGTCAAAACAAAATAGCTTTAAAAGATGTCAAATGGATGCTATCGCGAATAGTGCTGTAAACCCGGGTGTCGCTAAATCGACTTCTATTGATGAGAAATGTGTATGAATCCATCACCATATATATGAATGAGAGATCGCGCATCCTATATACATACAAAGGCAGAATATGTACACATAAACACATAAATCCATTCGTCCTTAGTAAAAAATTAAGAATGAATTATAAGGTTAGGTACCTCACCATTCTTAACTCTGGAATGATTTTCATTTCCATCCGTTCTTACTTCTAGAGGACCAGATACAGATCTTCGACGGACCTTAATGTCAAACTCAGGAATCTGATTCAATTGCTGTGATTTTAGATACTGCTTTTGGCGAGGAGGTTTGGACTTTGCAACTGGAGACAGAGTCTTTTCTGAAAAATATTCAATGGTAGTAGATGATGAACTTGAAAAAAATGAACTGTTTTGTGTGTTGAATGAGCTTGGAGTCAGATCTGATCCAGTTACAAGACTCGTGTTGTTAACTTGCTTGAAGGCTGGAGAAGCACCAAGCATATCAGCAATAGTCGGGACCTGCTTCTGATCAATGTTCATATTGAGTGGGAAGTTCACTGATCGAAGGATCTTGTGAAAGGGACCTTCTATAAGCACGACATTGCAATTCAAGAACTGATTTAAGCAACAATCTGCTTCGTTCTTCAAGCGTCTGCCACATTAGTATAAAACATATTTTAGATCATTACCTTTTCTTCCAAATGAAGTGACCACTTGTCCAATTTGGAAACGATAATCCAAGTTATTATTGATTTAGATATAAGCATACATACTCATCAAGAATCACCCATTTTGCACACTGTTCTGTTGCTACCATAGCCACTGATCCCACCGGGGCATACGCTACCACTTTTACTTCGGTATGAACCTGGATTTATCATATAAAAACATTATATGTTATTAGCAGAATGAGTATAACTATAGGCGTCATTTGAATAACGTACGTAGTATACATGTACCTTGACTACTTTGTGAAGGGAGAAAACGTGGTGTATCATTTGTGCACAAACATTATAAATTCGTTGTGGTATATCACGTCCATCGTCTACAAATCCATCCTTATCTGGCGTGTCATATTTCCCACCACTCCGTTTCTTCAACATGCCTATTTATAACATAAATGAAGTTACAAAACAAAGAAACATACACGCATCCGCTTTGAAAACTTAGTTTATTAGACAATAATATTACGAGAAAATAATCCTTTAGAAGAATGTCGGGGTGGAATATTCTTGATTGGATTTGGATTGTATTCCTGAGAAGAGATGATCACAAGTAGAATCAGAGAATCCATAGGCTTGATTACATTTTGAACAGCCCATTCAAGTGCATAATCTGTGATCTCTGTACCCGCTTCAATGCTCACTAATATCATTTGACCTACCATTTTACACGGTGTACTTGTTACACTACAAACTTTTGTCAGCTCAGTAATATATATCAGCATCTCACTGAGCAGAAGGCCTTTAATAACGTCCAAGATAGATTCTTCAAGAGTTTTTTATCTTTTCTGCATCTTTCCAGTCTTTATCATGTTCATTCTTTAATTAATTAACCATTAGAGTCGAGTGAAGGATACAAATGGCACAAACGGGAAGCAAGCAGGCTGTATAAACGTGTGAAAGTTGTAGTTTTCTGTTTGTTTTCTAGCTTTTCTGGAGTAATAAAATTGCAAATGAAATGTAACAAAACCGACACAAAATATTCCGTGCTCTTTCTTTGACCTATTCTATTCTGCAGTCCTGCACCATCAAATAAAAAAAAAAAAAAAACATCTGTATTTGTTTATTATATTTTCAACGTTATCCTGTTGGGGAATACTAAGATTAGAAAATTGTTACCAGAGTACACTGTGATGTCGGAATTTGAAATGGTCCACGAACGGCATACCACATACACCATGCACGACAGCAATTGATGGACGGATGTGTCGAATGAATGCATATTCGTTGACAATAGTTTGTGTGTGTCCAAAAGTTTGTAGCCTTAGAATGTAATATATATATATATATTTACAAAAAAAAGTCCAATTTATAAGCTTGGTCAGCTCATTAATTCTCTATATTTTTCCAATCATTTTCATCTTCTATAAAGAAAACAGGATACATATATACATGATCAAGATTGTTCAACCATGATTACTATGTGAATCTTATAAAACAGTCGTAGTCGTTGGATGATGTAGTTCAAAACCTTAAAAATTGTGATGGGAAAATTATAATTAAATATAAGGATGATAAAATTTTAAATGGAAGGACGGTTGCTTGAGCATATCACATTAAGTAAACAATTACTTTGGGGCATATTAAGCATAAATAATCTTTACAATTTTTATAAATTACTATAAAATTACAAAAAAATTAGTTTTTTTTTTTATTTTTTTTATTTTTGTAATTCAAATAAATCTTATTACAAACAAACAAATCCTACATATTCCGTATCACACTACCCAATCTCGGTATCAATACAAATATCTACAAACATGCAACTATTTCAACAAGTCGATATTAGTTGGAGCACGAATGCGTTGCTTCAGTACTGCCTTGCATGAATTTCAGTCAAAGTTCTTGAATAGTTTTTTTAGATGGGCTTGCAGACTCTTCACATTCTTTATGATCTATTCATTCGTTGTTTAAGATAGACTTTAGAAACTTCATATTATCTTCGAATACTACGCTCCAAACTCTTTCCGTTTCATCCTCTCCTCATGAACTTTGTTTTCAAGTGGTATACCCACCAAAACGTTAAAACAAACATAATTAGTAAGGTATGTAGAGATAGAAATGACAACGTACTTTACTCGTTTTACCAAAAATTGATAAAACAACAAGATATATAAGCATGTAATTTTCTTAAATAATATATAATAGAAGCATACATACATTTTTTAATGGCAATGTACTTACATTTTTATCAATATAGAAACAAACTAACATTTTTTTAACCATAATGACAACAAATTGTATTTGTATCCATAACAACAACATACTCTATTTGATGGGTTTTATACAAACAATCCTATGCGTGCATGCAACCCTAGATATGGATCTATGTTTTTCACTATTAGTTACACAACATTATGAACACATGAAGAACCCTAGCATGCTCCTAGTAATTTCGAAATTCATAAAGGAGAAAGGATTACATACCTCTTATTGTTATGTTGTAATAACAACTTGTATCTTGAATCTTCTTGTCTTTGAAAGAAAGTACCACGAGTGTAGTACCTCTAATGACTAACAAACACCAAGAGCAAATGGAGAGGCAAAAGAGAGAGAGGGGAGAGGTAGAAAATCGGCTCTAGGAACTCCAAGGATCAAGTGGCCGATTTTCCTACGTCAAGGGGTCCTTTTATAGGTGTAGGGATTAGGGTTTTAGTCCTTATCCTTATCTGGTTGCTTAGCCACCAAGCAGCCCAAGGATAATTCTAGAAGCCCTATCCTTGGACGAATTCTAAGGCCTTTAACCCCTTGAATTCGTCCACCCTATCCTATAGGGTTTCCTTGCCCAACTTTATAACTATCACATAATTACAGTTCAACCCCCTAGTTCAATTAACTTCTTTTAATCACAAAATTAATTTCTTAATTAATTCTAGACCAATGTTAATTAAACAAATATGATTTCTCTCTTAATATATTATTCTTATAATATATTAATAAACCATAATAACCTCTTTCTCTATTATTTCTCCAGTCAAGTTGATGTGGTGAAGGCAACCCAAAAGGACCATGCACAACCGGGTCAAGTACTTACCAAATATGGTTACGGGCTTAGACACTAATCCAACAGTCTCCCACTTGGATAAGTCTAGTAACCATAAATGCAAGTAGAACCCGATTAGCAATCGTAGCTCTCAAAGACACTGTCGAACTCTAATCTTATCAGTAACCTGTCCTTTAGATAAGGGATCGTACAGTCCTTCGTTCTAGATATCGTGCGGACAAATACATGGAACATAGTCATACTGATTTTCCAATAGTTTGTTTCTTGATCTCAGATTCGTCTGACATGGAATTTAATTGAACACATCAATTCAGTCCTGACCGGGCCCGGCACATAATTCAAACAAAATCATCGAGGGGCCCTGATATCGCTTTTATCCTCTTAGGATAAAAGGAACAGATAAACTTCGACTTATATGCATTTACTATTCACTAATTAAATCATACACAACAATGCGTTTTATAACATCAAGTTACTGATGCGTTTACGCATTATCAGTGCACAACCAATTAGCAAACAATAAACCATATATCTGGGTTTTAAGACCATATGATATTATCGTCTTGCGATCACTCGTGACAGATTCCATGAAGTGATTCCATAAAGCGTGGGTTTATTCCAATGCTCAAAACTTGTTCCTAAGCACTCATGAACGTTGCAACAAACTTTTGCTATGTTTAATACTCTTTAAACAATCTACACACCAATTCATGACAGTCTTCATTCATACCTACTTCCAACATATGAACGACTGTGGACTTTTCGAATAATCTTGTTATTCAGGAAGTCAAAACATGCAAAAATGAAACAATAGGTAAACAATTAACATAAGACAACAACATTACTAATAAATAATACTCTTTTATTTAATCATCGAATGTTAATTACAATTTATCTATTACACGTTTCTTAACTATCGAATCTAAACTAATATCGTCCTTCAGCCCGATACTCCTAGCGTGCTGCAAGTGTTTAACCTTACTCAGTCCCTTCGTAAGGGGATCTGCTGGGTTATCCTCCGACGACACCCTCTTTACTACGAGGAGTCCTTCTTCCACCCGATGTCGAATAAAATGATATTTTCTGTCGATATGTCGAGATCTGCAATGATCCCTTGGTTCCTTAGTCAAGGCAACCACTCCTTCATTATCACAGAAAATTTCCATAGGCTCTTGTATGGCCGACACAACTCCCTGTCTCCGATGAAGTTCTTCAACCATATCACCTCCTTTGACTCTTCGCTCGCCGCTATATACTCTGATTCGCACGTTGAATCAGCTACAGTCTCCTGCTTTGAACTTTTCCAAGTCACTGCTCCTCCATTAAGGGTAAAGACCCAGCCCGACTGCGAACGGTAGTTGTCCCAGTCGGTCTGAAAACTGGCGTCACTATACCCTCGCACCCTTAAGAAATCACTCCCACCGAGGACTAGAAACCATTCCTTGGTCCTCCGAAGGTACTTAAGAATATTCTTGACTGCGGTCCAATGCGCTTTGCTAGGGTTCCCTTGATATCTGCTGACCATGCTCAAAGCGAAGGCCACATCAGGGCGAGTACAAGTCATAGCGTACATGATTGAGCCAACTGTGGAAGCGTATGGTACTCGACTCATTTCTGCTATGTCGACTTCGGTACTCGGGCTTTGAGTCTTACTCAATTTGGCATTACTTTGGATTGGTAATTCTCCCTTCTTTGAATTCTCCATACTAAAACGTTTTAGTACCTTGTCCAAGTAAGTATTCTGACTAAGTCCTATTAGTCTCTTACTCCTGTTTCTCACTATCCTTATTCCCAAAATATAGGCAGCCTCTCCGAGGTCCTTCATAGCGAAGCACTTCCCAAGCCAGGACTTAACTTTCTGCAGCGTCGGGATGTCGTTTCCTATGAGTAGTATGTTATCGACATACAATACAAGGAAGCTTACAATACTCCCACTGGCTTTGACATATACACATGATTCATCCTTGCTTCGCAGTAAACCAAACTCTTTGACCTTCTCATCAAAACAAAGATTCCATCTGCGAGACGCTTGCTTAAGTCCATAAATGGACTTCTCAAGCTTACACACTCTCTTGGGATGCTTCGCATTGACAAAACCCTCTAGCTGAGCCATGTAAACATCCTCAGACAACTTCCCATTACGAAAGCGGTTTTGACATCCATTTGCCATATTTCATAATCATGAAATGCAGCAATGGCCAACATCACCCTGATAGACTTTATCTTCACAATTGGTGAGAAGGTTTCATCATAGTCAACTCCAGGAGTTTGAGTGAAACCCTTCGCAACCAATCGCGCCTTATAAGTGTGCAGATTTCCATCCATGTCGGTCTTCTTCTTGAAGATCCATTTGCACCCGACCGTCTTACGACCTGGTACATGACCAACCAAGTTCCAAACTTGGTTGTCATGCATAGACTGAATTTCGCTGTCCATAGCCTCTTTCCACTTTGCAGACTCTGGGCCTTGCATGGCTTCCTTATAGTTGTTAGGTTCGTCCAGATTCACTAGTGTACTATCACTAATGAACGTATCCCCTTCTGTAGTAATATGAAAACCATAAAACTGGGGTGGAACACTAACCCTTTTGGAACGTCTAAGAGGTAAGGACTCGTCAATCGGTTCAACCGGAGTTTCCTCCTCAGGTTG